TTTTAAAAATAAATAAATTATATACATATATATATATATATATTTTGCATCAGTCTGTATGAAACGACTAGGGAGTGGAGGCAGCAGGCTGCCAGTGCTGCAACCTGCAACTTTTTATATTTAAGCCCATGAATGTTTTAGAGGCGCAGGTGGAGCTGGGTTGGGGTTGTCGGGCTGGTGAGGTCAGTGTTCACCCAAACAGCCAGACTCTGCATCAGTCCGCTCCGCCTGCCTCCGGGGCTGAGCTACCCCTGGCGTCTCCTTTCATTTCATCCCCGAGGCCACTCGAGCATGACCGAGCGTTTCCCCGAATCATGAGCAGAGTTGCTCTTTCCAGCAACAGCCACAGACACTAACAAGAGGAGAACATCCTTCATTATCCACTTTGTGCTTGCTCTGCTATTTTCATTTAAACATTAAAATGTTTGGTGTTTGTTCCGGCCACTTTTTCCAGTCTTTGCCTTTAGTTTTTGTCTAAATTGATTGCTTGATTTTATTTCTAAACCACAGCTGTCTGCATACTGTTATTTATCCCATTGTTTGCTCTGCGGCATCATCTGTTAGACTGCTCTTCTTTTCTTCTCTAAATAAAATCTTTTTAATTTTCCTTCTGAATAAACCAGAGTGAAGTGAGAAATGATCATCTCCGGTGGCCGCAAAAGGAAGAGGGACCTCCGTGCCGCCTTACTTCCCAATAAATCCCTGAGCTGTAAAAGCTGGCAGCCTCAACTTTAAAAAGCAGCGTGTTTAAGTCAAACTAAGGTGGATTAATTACACAGCTATCTCCAGTATCACGGCTATTTTTGCACTTTTCTTTTTCTATTTCACACATTTTTTTATGCGGTTTCAAGGGCAATCTCTGAACTTGTTTCTGTACTGTCTCTTTCCACTTTCATCTTTTCCGAGTCCACCTGTTTCATATTCCCCACCAGTGTCTTACTAAAAGAGCAACAAGAGCACAGGGGGTGGGGGTGGGGGGGTGAGACAGGAGGCCAGACAGTCAGAAACAGATGAAAGCCTGATAAAGGTAGAAGCTGCTCAGCCAGATCTCCTTTACTCACCACATTTCTCTGCCTTCCCAGAATCCTTAATCTTGTCTGTTAACAGCTTGCTGCTGATGCTGCTAGTCGTTCATGTAAATAAACATAAAGGTGGGCGATGCAGAGGGATGTGTTGGACCTCTATAATGCTTCCTTTGGGGTTTGTATCTGATTTAGCTCCTTTTCGAACCACTTGTGGAAATGATGCCGCTTTCAGTTGGCAGGTCTGGGATCAGGTCACAGGTTTGCTAAATTGTGGGAGGGGTGGATGGATGGATGGATG